TGCCTAAGGAACGGGTCTTGGCTGAACGAGAAGACGCTCAACCTGTATCCTTGGGACGCAGGCACGGATTCAGGAGTGACGTATGAGGTTAGATATGCGAACGCTGTAGATTTTTTTTTTCTTTCCTTTCTTTCTTTCTTCTGTGGGTTCTCGGTTGTTTTGTTTGGTGTTTTGTGAATTGTTTTTTGGATGGCTTAATATTTTTTTTCTTTTTCGTTTTTGTTCTTTTTTATTCTCTCTCAAGGGATATAGTTGAGATATTCTGCTGTTTTCTTATCACACCTTCCCCATGTCCGCCATCTTACTACACCCATCAAATCCCCGCCATCTTACTACACCCTAATAACACTCTCTTTCACTAAACACGACCCTCCTCTCCCCCCACCCCCCACCCAAGCTCACCCTACTCCCCAATCTCCTCAGGCTGCAAACACGCCAACCATCCCAAGGGAGAAGATTCGTCGGATTACCACCAGTTACCCGAACGACCCGAATTCGCCCTTCTACGACCCCAGCGGAAAGGAGATGAAGCCTTTGGCGCGGATCACCATCACTCGTCAGCGCGTCTACGAGAAATCTTGCAGCGAAACCCACGGGCGTGAGTTTTTTTTTGTGTGTGTTTTTATATGTTTATATATCTTGTACCTTGTTTATTTCGTTTTTTTTTTTAATTCTTATATCGTGCTTGCAAATATATGAGTATCTTAGATGTGGATTTTTTTCTTCATCTTCTTCGTCTTTTTCTTCTTCATCAATACTTTCTTCATCTTTCTTTTGTTTTTTTACTTTCTTTATTATCGTTTTTTTCTCTCATAGTCTGCAATAGGGTTAATCTCTCTAGGTCTTTTCGTATTTAAAAAAATGTCCGTCTCCATTTATTTTCATCTTTGTTGTATAGATATAATATTTTTCATGTTTTTAGGTATAGAATGTTTCGTCGTCCTTCGTATTACTTCGTAGTATGTATGTATTTGTGTAATGTGTGTTTGTGTGTGTGTTTGTGTGTGTATATGAGAGAGTGTCTACCTATATGTTCCTCTCAAGGATCTCTTTCTAACAGCATATTAAAGGTATACTGAAGCAAATCTGGAATGATCTCTCTTTTACGTAACTGACAACCATCTTCCATCCTTGTCTTTATCATCAAACAATAAAAAAAAACAGTAAGTTATTCTCTTCATAAAATAATCGCCTCATAAATACCTGACCTTAATTCTACTGTGTCGAAGTTTTAGATGAATGATCTCTCGTCTTGTTATAAATGACCTTTTTTAACCAGTCTGATAAGCATGTGTAGCGTTTGTCCATGTGACCTGATCTGACCTCTGAATAAGTACACATGGTTGACCTTTCCGTATGCAATTTTGATTTAGATCAGATGCTCAATGTCACACACGTTTTTTTTTTTGTTTCGTTTCGTTTTCCGTTCCATTATCATCCTTATTTTAGAGCTATTATTTTAGTCCTGATTCTTTTTCATCATTCCATATCATAATATCATAATTTCATAAATCATGGGAAAATGGGATATGCTTTGATGTGTGTTGTGTGTATGTATGTTTATATATATATATATATATATATATATATATATATATATATATATATATATATATATATATATATATATATATATATATACATATATACATATATTACATATGTAAAAATGTATACATATATATATATATATAAAAAAATATATATATATATATATATATATATAGATATTATATATATATATATATATATGTGTGTGTGTGTGTGTGTGTGTGTGTGTGTGTGTGTGTGTGTGTGTATATATACATATTTAAAAATATATACATATATATGTGTGTGTGTGTGTGTGTGTGTGTGTGTGTGTGTGTGTACATATATATGTATGTATGTGTGTCTCTGTATATAAATACGCATGACGTTTCTATTTGCTTTCCATTAAGCTTGAAAAGTTACTTCCATTCATAAATATTAGGGGAGTATCTATCAGATAACTTTTTTGTTTTTTTCATTTTCATTGTTTTGTGTAATATACGTATACCATCGTGTTTATCATGACATCCTAAAAAAAAATCAACGACTAAACCAAATGGAAATCAAGACGAATTATCAACACGAAATATGTATTTATGCAACAAACTCTAAATAGACGAAATGTTTTATGTTGCTTACGAATACTAAGCTTGATATTCAGAAAAAAAGCGCACGTTTGGAATAGACAATAAGGAAGATTGAAAAGAAAAAAATCAAGATCGAGATCGAGATGAAAGAAAAGAAGAGGTCAAAGGTCGAAGAGAAGGACTAAAGACAAGGTCAAAAGTTTATTATGAATAACTCAGGTCAGAGTTCGACGAGAAAGAAGGGCAAAAATAACTAAGACAGCGAAAAAATGGCGAGAACAATGAGAGACAGAGAGAAAGAAAGAAAGAGAGAGAGAGAGAAAGAGAGAGAGAGAGAGAGGGAGAGAGAGAGTGAGAGTGAGAGTGAGAGAGAGAGAGAGAGAGAGAGAGAGAGAGAGAGAGAGAGAGAGAGAGAGAGAGAGAGTGAGAGTGAGAGAGAGAGAGAGAGAGAGAGAGAGAGAGAGAGAGAGAGAGAGAGAGAGAGAGAGAGTTTGGAGGTTGAGAGGAAGGCAATGAAAGAAGAAGAAAAAAATATAAACCAAGAAAAAGATGTTTAAAAAAAACGGTAAAAGACATACACAAATATACAAACCAAACCGACAACATACATATTTTTTTTCCAAAACGAAAAAAGAAGAACTCAGGTGATAAGAAAGAGAGAGAGAGAAAGAGAAAAAAAGAGACGAAATCTAAAGGGAATGTGATCAGACAAGAGGTAAATTACGCATGTCTTCTTCCCCTCTTTACGCAGCTTATGAAGACTACGACCTCAATGACTTCGAGGAGAGCGACGAAGATGCTAACAGACGTGAGTACAAATACATTACTGTTGTTGTTGTTGTTGTTGTTGTTGTTGTTTTCTGTGGATCGGATTCTGGGAAAGTGGCATTAGCGGGTATAATTAGCAAGTAATGATGTTTTATGTGTTGATAGTAATGTTGATTATAATGGATATGAGGATAATCATATTTAACAAGGCTGATGACGATACAGTCATACAGTAATACACACACACACACACACACACACATACACACACACACACACACACACACACACACACACACACACACACACACACACACACACACACACACACACACACACCCATCCCCACCAGGCCCCCGACCGGACGGCCCATTACCCTAACCCTCCCTTCCCTCCCTCCCCCCCCTCGCAGCCGAGTGCCAGGTCACCGACTGGTCGCCCTTCTCCGAGTGCTCCGCCTCCTGTGGCAAGGGACTGAGGATGAGGACGAGGTCGTACTTGATGCCCATGAAAGCAGACATGATGGGATGCAGGAGACAGCTCGAGGAGAAGGAGATGTGCCTGGCCAAGCAGCCCACGTGTCCTCATGGCGGGTTCATGCCGTATTTCGATGAGGTGAGGGGAGTGAAGTGATTTTTTTTTTTTTTTTTTTTTTTTTTGAGTGGGATGAAGTTTTTTGGGGGGAGGGTAAAGTGACCTTTTTTGTTGGTTTATTGGTTGTTTTAGTTTATTTGTTTGTTTGTTTTTTTGAGGGGAGTGAAATGACCTTTTTTGTTGGCTTGTTTGTTGCTTCGGTTTCTTTTCGAGGGCAGTGAAGTGACTTTTTTGTTGGTTTATTTGTTGCTTCAATTTGTTTGTTTGTTTGTTTTTTGAGGTGAGTGAAGTGACCTTTTTTTGTTGGCTTCTTTGTTGCTTCAGTTTTTTCGAGGGCAGTGAAGTGACCTTTTTGTTATTATATTTTCTGTTTTTTTTTTTTGTTTGTTTGTTTTTTGTTGTTTTTTCGAGTGAAGTGACTTTTCGTCGATTTATTTCCTAGTTTATCTTTATTTACGAGGGGAATGAAGTGAAGAATTTGCTTCGTTTGTTAGTTTGTTCTGATTAAAGTAATTGAACTTCTAATTTTGTTAGGTGTTTGTTAGTTTTTTTCTGTTTCACTTCTTTTATCTTATCTTATTTTGTTTTATTTTTAGGTGAATGAAGTTTTTCGTTTTATAATATAGTTTTTTTTTTGTCAATGGGAGTGACGTGAAGAATTTCCTTCGTTAGTTTAACTTCGTTATTTCTGTATTTGAAGTGAGTGAGTTGAGTTTTTTTTTTTCTTTTGTCTAATTGTTAAGCTATTAATATTTCTGGGATGATAGGAAAGATGTTTTTATTTCAGTCGTTTGCTTGTTTGTTTTCGTTGTTTTGTGTAAAAGTGAAATGAAGGTATATATTTTTTTCTCTTTGCAAATTTAGTTATTTTTTTGTATTTGAGTATAATGGATTTTTTGTTTCGTTACTTTTCTGTTTGTTTAGTTGTTTATGTTTATATTTCCATTTGCTTTGTTTTTTGTTTGGCTTATTTAGGGGGGAGCGGGGGGGGGGCTGAACGAACTGAAATGAAGTTCTTGTTTCATTAATTTGCTTCATGTGTTTAGTCTTTTTGAAATTAATGAAGTGAAGTGAAGTTTTTGTTTCGTTGATTAGTCTGTCGTATTAATTTTGTCTTTAAAGTGAAAGCAGTGAATCCTTTGTTTCAATTATTTGTCAGTTTAGTCGTTAAGTCTTTCATATTTTTTTAAAAGTTACAGACGAATTCTTCTTTGAAATATTGTGAACGAAATTATAAGATTCATATTTTATTTTATCCATTTTATCCTTCAAGATATTTTTCTTTCTTTCGTCTCTCCTCTTTATTATTTTCTCTCTTCCTTCCCCTTCTCTTTCCTCTCTTTTTTTACTCGCTTCTCCTCTCCTTTCATCTCTCATCCCTTCTGTTTTCTTCCTTCTTTCATCTCTCACTCTCTTTTGTTCTCTTCCTTCTTTCATCACTCTCTCTTCTGTTCTCTTCCTTCTTTCATCTCTCTCTCTCTTCTTTTTGCTTCTCCTTTCCCTTCTCTTTTCTTCTCTATTCTCTTGTTATCCTTCTATTCATCTCTCTCTTCTTTTCTTCTCTTCTATCTTTTTCTCATCTCTTTGCTTCCCACTCTCTCTCTCACTCCATCTCTCTATATATGCATTCATCTACCTATTTATCTTTATGTGTCTATTTATCTGTCTGTTTATCTGCCTATTTATCTATGTGTCTATCTGTTCATACCTCTTTCTATGTGCATCTATCTATTCTCTCTCTCTCTCTCTCTCTCTCTCTCTCTCTCTCTCTCTCTCTCTCTCTCTCTCTCTCTCTCTCTCTCTCTCTCTCTCTCTCTCTCTTTCTCTCTCTTTCTCTATTTATCTTTTTATCTATGTATCTCTCTTATCACATCTATCTATCTTTCTGATAGGTCTATCTGTCTATCTATCTATCTATCTTTCTGTCTATCTGTCCATCTGTCATTTTATCTATCTATCTATTTCTCTCTCTCTCTCTCTCTCTCTCTCTCTCTCTCTCTCTCTCTCTCTCTCTCTCTCTCTCTCTCTCTCTCTCTCTCTCTCTCTCTCTCTTTCTCTTCCCCTCTCTCTGTCTTCCTCTCATTCTTTCTCTTTTCAGTATTTTGCTTCCCTATATCTTACCTTGTAATATTTTATTAGATTTTTCTTTTTTTTCTCTTGTACTTAATCTTTCCACTTTTTTGTATTCTTTCTCACCATTTCGATTCTCTCTCTCCTTTACTACCTATCTAACTGTCTCTCTATTTATTTATCTATCCTATCTATTCATCCATCCTATAGCCTGTCTCTCACTCAGCAAATATCCATCTAACTTACCCATCTACCATCTCATCTGCCTATCACTTCTATCTATCGAACCCAAGACCGTCCTCCTATCTCCGACCTTTATATATACAGCATTTAATCAACTAACTCTCCTTTTTTTTCTTTCTCTCCCTTTCTTTCATTATGACATCGAGTTCTCTACCCGGATGTGCGCCACTTCTGAATGGTCGCCGTGGACTTCCTGCCCAGTCACCTGCGGGAAGTCACAACGCATGCGCAGTCGACGCTACGAGAAACACATGGACAGGAAGAAGTGTAACAAGGAACTAGTGGAGAAGGAACCCTGCATGGCTGATATCCTGGAGTGCGTGGAGCCAGAGGAGGAGGTAAATTTTGAAGAAGGGAGGCAGGGAGAGAGGAGAGGGAAGGAGAGGGGAGGAGAGGAAGGAAGGAGAGAGAGAGAGGGGAGGAGAGAGAGGAAGGAGGGGTGGGAGAGTGAGAGAGAGACGAGAGGAGAGGGAAGGAAGTAGGGAAAGGGAGAGAGGAAGGAGAGAGGGTGGAGTAAGAGAGAGAGAGAGAGAGATGAGGGGTGGAGAGAAGGAGGGAGGGAGGAAGAGAAAAAAAAACACGAGAGAGAGAAAAAGAGAAAGACAGAGGGAGAGTAGAAAATGGAAGGATGGATAGAGATATAATAAGAGAGAAAGTGACAGAGACAAGGGTGGAGGAGGGAGGTAGAAAGAGAGAGAACAGGGGGAAGGGAAGAAGGAAGGTAGATAAGTGAGTAAGGAAGGAGAAAGAAAGAAAATCAGCCAATACATAGTATGACATAGAGCGAAAAGTAAGAATGGAAGAGCGAATGAGTACATAGAAGCAGTAATTTACAATTTTTGATACACAATTAAGTAAAAGTAACATAATATTTTTCCATTTTTTATAAGATGGGCATACTTATAAGGAATCGATGCCGTAATCATTTTAAAATCAAAAACGCATAAAAAGTTCCCTCCCTCAATGATTGCTGAAAATGATATGAATAAAGATTTTAAATTCATGATTAATATTCCCATTGACACGTTAGTAGTGCATTTAATACCTTCTTCAATAAAGAGCATAGAGATATAGTGGATGAAATGAGCCAAAACTCTACAATACTTTGAAGAGGGACGATACTGCGTGATTTCGGGGGGTCGAGGGGGGGGGGGGGGGTCAAGTAAAGTTAATTTCTCTTCAAACAACGATGGCAAAACTAATGTCCGTTTTCGTATAAGTTCCAGCGGGGAGTTGGATCCGAAATTTCGCGGTTGTTTCCCTCTTCAATGTTTCATTAAATAGGTTTCCTTTTATGGTACTGTTTTTAGTGTGATTATTTTCGATATATATATATATATATATGTATATGTATATATATATATATATATATATATATATATATATATATATATATATATATATATATATATATATATATACATATATACATATATATATATATATATGTATATATATGGATGCACACACACACACACACACACACATGTATATATATATATATATATATATATATATATATATATATATATATATATATATATATATATATATATATATATATATATATATATATATGTATGTATGAATGTATATATACATACATATATATGTATTTATATATAAATACATATAATATATATGTATGGGTATATATATATATATATATATATATATATATGTATGTATATATATATATATATATATA